GGGTCTAAGGGCAAAACGGGAATACAAACAGAAAGGTTAATTGCTGTCAAGGTTTATTTTGTTGCATTTGGATTCTTTTATTTTCTGCATTGTTTTGCTGAAGTAACAGTACTCTATCTCAACCACTGCTGCTGGTAACTTTCTTCAGACCTGTCATCGCCGTTGAAGTTTCAATACAGCCGTATCACGATCCTCCTATCCTCATCACTTTTATTTCTCCGTGGTCATCTTTTCTGAGTACCATCATGCCCGATGCAAAATACGGTTTATCTAGTAAAACCCATCAACCTCTTCATCTGGTTTATTCCGTGACTAACATACAACACAAAATCCGTGTCTTAAATGGATCAAAAGTTCCGTATTCATCATGGGTTAAACTGTTCCTATATCATGCTCGGAGGTATGATGTCCTTCATCATATTGACAGCACAAAACCCCTTGTAGAACAAACCCACAATTTGAATATTGGGATAAAATCGATGCCATCATTCTGCAGTGGATCTACGGGTCACTGTCAGACGAAATTCTGGTTAGGATTTTGGAAACTGAGTCCACTGCATTCGAAGCTTGGACACAAATCAAGAACATTTTCTTGAACAACAAAGGCTACCATGCAACAGCTCTGGAAGACGAATTCATCAATATGAAGCTAACCAATCTCCCTTCTCTTGAATCATACTTCCAGAAGCTCAAAGAAATCGTTGATAAGCTTTCAGATGTGGAAAGCTATGTCACTGAAAACCGTCTAGTTCTGCAACTTGTCCGGGGATTACCCACAGAATATGACACAATTGGTTCTGTCATTAATCAGCAATTACGTCACTGGGAAGAACCCTGCAATATGCTTCAATCTGAACATCAGAGATGTCAAGCTTGCAAACCACAACAACCGATTGTTGTCGTTGTTGTCCCTGAACAGCAGCTACGCACCCATCCGTTTGAGAAACAATGTCGCAAACAGCCTCACAATCAGCCCCGTGTCAACCGGCGCCAAACTAGGCCTATGAATCGCAGACCCAATTGGGCACCTGCTGGGATGGGGCAGCAGCCTGCTAGTCAACCCCATGTTGTTTTGTCTCTCAATCCCTATCCTTCTTGGCCAGTGCAATTTAATAAGTTTTGGCCACCTTATTGGGCTCCGCCTCCTCCATGCCCTTATCCAACTCAACAAGGTGGGCCACTCCTTAGGTGGGCCACTCCTTGGAAGCCCGTCCCTTCTCCTTAGGAACAACAACAACCTGTTCGTGCCCCATCCAGGTGAGCTTAATCTAGTTGATTTGGATCCTTAGATTCAGGTGTGGTTTCCATGTCTTCAAGTATTACACCTATTAAATCCATACCAGTTCCCCTTACAAACTTCATATTAACAATGTCCTCTATTCACCGAACATCATTAAAATATTATTTACGTTCGTAAATATCTGTTAGATAATTGGTCCTCTGTTAAATTTGATCCCTTTGGTTTTCTGTGAAGGACTTCAAGATTGGGAAGATCCTGTCACATATACCTGTCACCAACAGTTTTAGTGATTCCAGTTCAGCTTTGCTCACCACACCTTCTACCGTTACTTGGCGTGATCGCCTAGGTCACCCGGGATTGCATATTTTAGATTTCCTTAGTTGTTCCAATTTTGTTTCATGTAGTAGGGCAAATACCTTGAATGTTTGCAATTCTTGTCAATTATCTAAGCATAAACGTTTGCCTTTTAATTCTTCTCTTTCGAATACACTTATGCCATATTGCCATTTGATATCTTGCATTGTGATTTGTGGACATCTCTAATTCAAAGTAATAATGGGTAAAGTATTACATGGTCCTAATCGATGATTTCACTAATTCTACATAGGCTTTCCCCATTAAATTCAAATCAGAAACCTTCACAAAGTCCACTCAATTTCACAACTTTGTTCGCACTCACTTTCATTGCTCCATTAAGTCCTATCAATGTGGCATGGGAGGCAAGTTTGATAACACATCTTTTAAAATCTTTGCCTCTACTCATGGGTTTCAATTTTGCTTCTCGTGTCCTCAAACATCCCACCAAAATGGGAAGGATGAACGTATGATCAAAAGGCTTAATGAAATCATGTTTTGCCTCCTAAGTCATGCCTCAATCCCTCCCACCTATTGGGTTGAAGCCCTTCACACTTCTATCTACCTTAACAACATCCTTCCCACTAAAGTCCTTCAAAACCGTACCCCTCTCTCCGCTTTTTACCTCAACCACCCAACCTATGATCACTTACGTGTCTTCGGGTGCACATGTTATCCAAATCAATCGGCCAATAGACCGTATAAACTCTCTCTTCATTCCACCAAAATGGGAAGGATGAACGTATAATCAAAAGGCTTAATGAAATCATGTTATGCCTCCTAACTCATGCCTCAATCCCTCCCACCTATTGGGTTGAAGCCCTTCACACTTCTATCTACCTTAACAACATCCTTCCCACTAAAGTCCTTCAAAATTGTACCCCTCTCTCTGCTTTTTACCTCAACCACCCAACCTATGATCACTTACGTGTCTTCGGGTGCACCTGTTATCCAAATCAATCAGCCAATAGACCGTATAAACTCTCTCTTCATTCCACCCAGTGGGGGATACCCACCTGATTATAGGGGTTATCAATGCTTGAACCTTCAAACCGGTAAAATAATTCTTTCTCATCATGTCACCTTTGATGAAAATCCATTCCCTGTTTGAAACAACTCCCAAGTCTTACTGTTTCTTACAAGATGACTCCTCTCCTCTTGCGTTTCCGTTTTCCCCATACCCACATCCTACCACTATTGAGAATAACACCACCACTCTGACAACCACACCTCCGCCACCCACTACCATTCACCCCCAAATCCGCCCACTCTGATCCCCTATTCTCGACAACAACATGCCACCACCAAACCAACATTTGAAACTTACCAACAGTCCCCCAATCCAATCATTACTGCTACAACCTCCAACATCATAAATCGGTCCATTCACCCAATGCAATCCCACTCTTAAGCTCGTTCCCAACAGCCCAACTCTTCATCCCTTTTACACACCACGTCCATCGCACCTATACCAAAATCCCTCACTCAAGCTCTTTCTCACCCTAATTGGCGTTATACCATGGCCAACGAGTTTAAGGCTTTAATAGACAATAATACTTGGGAACTGGTTCCAAGGCCTACTAATACTCACATCATTAATTGCATGTGGCTATAAAACATAAGTTTCATGCAAATGGTTCCTTTCAAATATATAAGGTACGATTAGTTGTTAATGAGAAATGTTAACAGATTGACTTAGATTACAACGAGCATTCAGCCACATTGTAAAACCTGTCACCATTCACACGGTACTTAGTTTAGTTGTGTCCAGAAATTGGCCAATCAACCAGTTGGACGTTGAAAACACCTTTCTTCACAGGGACTTGAACGAGACTGTCTACTTGTACCAACCACCGGGCTTCACAAATCGGTCCAATCCATCATTTGTTTTTCGTCTACGCAAATCTTTATATGGACTAAACCAGGCCCCTTGTGCCTAATATTAATGATTTGAAAATTTTATTCAATCTTGTGGCTTTCACAGTTCCTCATGTGACACATCTCTCTTTATATATAAAGAAGGCAACCAAATGACCTTTTTGTTACTTTACGTTGATGACATCATTCTCACCGCCTCCAATCACCAACTCCTTCGCTACATAATTTCGTCTCTTTCTAAGGAGTTTTCCATGACCGATTTAGGGGAATTGCATCATTTTCTAGGCATCAACGTGTAACAGAAATCGAGAAACTTGTTTTTTTTTCAGGAAGCATATGCATCTGATATCAATGCTCGAGCTAAGATGTAATACTGTAAACCAGGCTACACTCCATGTGACACTGATTTTAAGCTAAGTGCAATGGATGTAACCCTTCTAACTAATGGCACCTTCACTAGATCCGGCATTGCTTACGCTATTCAACCGGTCTTCCTATTTATGCATGCTTCGTGCGAACCTCATTTCCAGCTCCTCAAGCGTATCTTGTGATATTTGAAAGGAACAACCTCTCATGTTCTCCTAATCTCTCCCTCCAAGTCCTCAAAGCTAACTGCTTATTTTGATGCCGACTGGGGGGATGTCCCAATTCAAGACGCTCAACATCGGTTTATTGTGTTTTTATGGGAGATAACCTTATCACTTGGTCTTCAAAACGTCAACACATGGTATCTCGTTTTAGCATAGAAGCTGAATACCGAGGTGTTGCACACACCACAACAGAGGTCACCTGGCGCCATAACCTTCTTCTTGAGCTATATGTTCCAACACGTGATGCCAACATCATATTTTGTGACAACGTTTCTGCGGTATATCTATCAGGCAACCCTATCGATCATCAACACACTAAACAGATTGAAATTGATATTCATTTTGTGCGGGACAAGGTTGGTATTGGTTCCATCCAGGTTCTACACATCCTTGCCGACTACCAATATGCATACATTTTCAAAAAAGGTCTACCTAGAGATTTGTTTAAGAGATTCAAGACCAATTTGCGCATTCTTCCCCATGCTCAGACTGCTGAGGTGTATTAGTCAAAATATTATTTATGTAGTTTATTCTGTATTTAATTGTTATTCCTGTAAATTAGATTTGTATACTTAAATAGCTCTAGGGTTAGATAGTTTTCATCTCTATTTATACCGTATCGTTTCTTAATGTTAGACAGGAAAACTTTTGATGATTCTCACGATCGATGCTTAACACAAAAAACCTTCCAACCCTAAACCTCGTTCTTATACCATGTAAACAATAATAGATTGAGGGTGAAAATACCTTATTGATTATATTATTTACAAGGAAGCGGTACAAGACTATAAATAAAGGCATGATCCCTAGACAAAGGAAACCCTACGGGCCAATGAGCTAATTAAGCCAGAACTAATATATGTAATATTTACATTCTAGCACAAGTAAATTACCCCATACCACAGGGACCACTCGTGTAACTTACTGTATGTTAAACTTCAAAATATGTGGAGAATATACATACCGGCCACCATAGAAATGGCAGATATCAAAGGACCATACACTCCTCTAATTGGAACAGCTGTTGTACCTTTTCCAGCATACTGGAACCGGATTTCTAATGTTTTATTTGTAACAAGTATGCCTTTTAAGGTTTTATATACTTCCTTATCAACCCCGCCTGCTTCAATCTTGATATCAAAATTCTTCAATACGTTTACACCCTGTAAAAAGGAGAAAAGAACAAATAAAAATACAACAATATAAAAACTAAAGGAACTGCACCATTCATTCTTGTTGATTATTAAGTAAAAATGTCTTTGAATTTGGAGATCAAATGTGAAGCCTTCACGAACAGGATTTATACAAATATATCATAGATCTATTTTGAGTATGAAAATAGTCCACTTGTGAAAGTTTAGGAAAAAAAGAATATTCAACCTGAACATAAACATCAAAAACACGTCTTCCAAGACTCTTGTAAGATTGTTTATCTCTGAAAACTATCTCTGCAAAATGCAGAGTCACAGTATACTTTCCATTTGCTAAGCAACGACCATAGTAAGTGAGAGACAGGAGCGTGTGGCGAGCCTTCGTATAAAGTTCATAGCCATTCATAGTGAGTACAGATGCATTAGTTTCGATATAATTTGCAACACTGTCATTAGCAGACCACATGCTTCCTGTGCTACTATATCCCCAATGATCACTTGAAGGAACAAATTTTGCAGGTCCACCTGAATCTTCATCTGCTTCATATGTCTTGTTTCCAATGGTAACTAGTGGCCCTCCACAATTTATATGAACTGAATAGTAGTCTAGAGAAACATAAAATAGATCAAACGAGTTCCATTCAATTTTTATGGAAACAAATCATTATCAGGACGCATTTTGCTCACCCTTTAAGCAAGGACGGGTGCTAAGGCATTTCCCAAGGTCTCTGCATCAAACCAAACATCAGATACCTCTTATTATATATAATTAATTTCCATTCATTTTAAAGAATAATAGTAGTGTTATAATCTTACGAGTTATTCCCACTAGAGTAGCTTCTGAATAAGTTCCTAATATAGGAAATAAAACTTTAAGTTTAATTTAGATGTGCACATGAAGGGAACATTAGAGTTTTTAAAACTTACAGTGATTCGCCACAAACTCGTGGTACCGTGTTTTTACTGAAGTTGTTGTAGGAAAGATCTACTACACTGCATTACAGTACATGCCTATGAACTACTATAACAAACACATCTTCTAAGAAAATTTATTATGAAAATGAGGGTCAAAAAAACATACAGATTACCGGTGATCCATGTAGGAAAACTGTTGTCTAGGGAGTTACCAGTCAGATACCTAGTCAAGTCATTTCACTAAATCAAAGATACTCAAGAGTAGAATACTACTGCAAACATATATGATTCTGCAATCAAGAGAAATAATAGTTTTGAAGAAAATCATACAGGGAAAAAGTAAATGCATATCTTTCTTACATTTTTTCAAGATTCAGTTCACTTAGATCTGGTATACCACCATTCAGATTGTTGAAACTGAGATCTCTGTGTAAGTATATGAAAATAGATAGAGAGAATACTTCAGGAAATTTTAATAGAAATCAAAAAAGCTTATCATGTAGAAATATAGAAGATACTGTTAACGGATATGGTCTAAAGAGGTAGGAGTTACAGATGTCTCAAACTGAACATTTGCGATATATAACCCGGAATACTCCCAGTTATATTACAGCTTCTCAACATCCTGCAACATCCACCAAAGTTTATGAAGGTACCAGTTTTGAAATTAAAGTCTTGTTAATAGATTTCTACACCCTATCACTTACAACTTATTCATTCTTGTCAACCTACTCAGATTTGGAAACCGTGAGCCCTCTCCACTTAAATCAAAAATTCGTCTGCACACGTATCAGATAAAGACATGTTGATTAGTACTTACTGCAGTAATAGAAAGAACTGAAGATCCTATGGAGGGAGTATATGTTTAACTTACAGTTCTGTTAAATTTCTCAAGAAGGAAAGACTTTCAGGTATTGGTCCTTCTAGACCACTACCTTGGATCTCTCTGAGGATAGAAGATAGAAATAATGGCAGTAAGCAAAAAAAGAATGATCAAATAACTAATCTAAGCACCATCTCCAACGCCACACTAACATGTGGTGTTAAGTTGCTCTAACCCAACACTAAATATAGTGTTGGTGATGTGTGTTTAATGTAATTTTTTCATTTAATAAAAGGATTATTTCAATGTATAATTGGATAATTAATTATATACATGAATAATCTGTTTTGGTTATCAATTTTTGATAATATAATTTATAATTTTTTAAACTATCGTAATAAAAACATATGAGTCAAGTTTGTAAAAACCTAATAAAAATAAGGGTCCTCATTTTATATGTCCGAGTCATCTGTGGAAGCAGTCGTCTACCTTTGGGTGGAGGCTAGACTGCGAATATATACATCCGTCTTACCCCATATATATAGGGTTTTGGTTTTAATATGATGAAGATAAAGAAGAATAATATCTTATAACAATCGAGTAATTATAGATGATAGATATTGTAATTATAGATATAGGTATTGGGGTATTGAGCAACTATAATTTCTTCATTTCTTGCCGATGATTGTTTTCGCATAGCACTAGGGGAAATGGTAGGAATACAATCGCCATAATGTTCGATTTCAAATAAAAATGTGAAAAATATTGTATAGGTAATGAAATGCCAATTAGTTTTCCTTCCACTGGACAAGGTGACGAGGCAGGGGAAATTGAACACATGACCTAAAAATGTTTGACCACCTGATAAATGAGAACAAATACTCTTATTGCTATTTTGCTAATAACGCATATTAGTCATTGAAATAAGGGTTATTCAATGAAATGACCAAAATTGTAGAAGTCATACCATGTAATGATAATTTTTTGAAAGAAAAATAATATCACAAAGTTACCAATTATTTTGCAAAATGAACTTGGCAAAAATAATTTAACTTGTAAAATTGCTTTGCGTGAATCCCAACTACTTTTTATTAATTTGGTGGAAATGTTTTATACAAAAGGGGTGAGTATTTTGTAATAGTTTCCGAAAATGTGATCATTTTGTGAAACAACACCTCCATTTTGGTTATTTTAGTGAGTATCTATTGTTTTAATCATGGAAGACACGAGTATTTTTCTTTTCTTTTTTCATTTTAGTTTTTTGGAGGGCGTTGAAAACTTGTTGGAGATATACAAATAGCAATACTGAATAAAAAACTTACAATTTCTGAAGTTTTGTGCAGTTTCCAAGGTTTGGAATTTTCCCACTGAAGTTGTTGCTACTTAGCCGGCTGCACAAAGGTGAGAACTGAGAAGCAGTTATGAGTCTACAAAATGGGAAAGATAAATTTCTAGCTAGTGTATAGCATGAAAATTTATACTATAATGTTTTTTGGGAAGGGTGCATTGTGCATACAGTTCTATCAAATTGGTCAGAGAATTAAGCTCCTCCGGCAATTTACCAGTGAGATTATTAGCACTCAAGACCCTACAATTTCAGAATAAACATGTATCGGTTAGTCAGTAGTTACCATAGCAGCTACAATCAAAAAAGTTTGTAGTAAAGCTACAACACAAAGAAGGTCTTACAGAGATGTTAAATTTTTTAATTTTCCAAGCTCAGCAGGAACAGCTCCAAAGAACATGTTGTTCTCCAGTATCCTGTTATCCATTTTATTATCCGTTAAACAGAAACCAACATGAAGAATGTAATAACATTACATATAAAGTATCATCATAAAAATTTGAGAGAGAAAGAGAGAATATACACATATAAAAGTGAGGTTATGTTGCCCAAAAATGTTGGAATACTCCCTGTCAAGCGATTAGCCGTAGCAGATCTGGATTACAGTAAGTTTTAATCGTTAGGAAATTGGAACTCTTATAGATATCAATAAACTTAGAGATCGAAAGATGAGATTCATGTATAACTAACTCACATGAATTCCAGCTTTGTTGATGCCCATTGAGGAGGTATGGTGCCATTTAGGTAATTAAACGATAAATCACTGCAACAAGCAACCCATGTTGTAATGAATCATGATATATTGAAGCATGGTATATATCTTTTTAAACATAAAACTTTGTTTTACATTATCTTGATATTTGGTAACTTGGCCAGGGATGGAGGAAGAACTCCTGCAAGATCCTGCCCCTTCATAGATCTGTTCAAAAGGATAAGTTAGGCCTCTAATTTTTGTTTACACAAATTCCACATTCATACCAGTAAGAGGAACTTATGTTTGGATAACAGTGGAGTGATCTATATATGTAACCATAATAGATGATTCGTTTAAAGTAACCAAAAATGAAACAAAACTGCATACATCTCAACAACGTGACAAACACTGGCAGGATACGAGCAATCACAAACAACACTGTTGTTATACTGAGAACTTGGGTCTTGCACATTTGTGTTCCAACTGGGATCTCCATCACATGGGTTCAGGTCAAAATTCCAGTCCTCTTTTCCCAATTCTTTAGCTATTTCTTGAAGTGCATTCACTGCAAAATAACATCAAATACTTTCGGGTATCTGTTGCTAATTATATCTTATCCCTTTTGAAATAATAGTCAAGGTTCACATATTATCTTATATTTGAGGTCTTATTCACACATAAACAAGGATTAAGTCACCTGTTATTTTGACAGAATGAAGAATCAAACTTTATTAAAAACTTGCCTTCATCTCGAGGAAGAATTTTGGCTTGTGCCTGAATACCAGTTACTAAAAAGAAAAGAATTGTAGACAAGAAGGTGAGAATACATGAAAGTATTGAACTTGGATCGAACATTATCAACATTTAAACTGATACAGTCACACGATTAATTCTTGTAATGTCTGTAAATACTTAAACGCACTGCAAGTCAACTTTGCCTATGGTCTTCAATGTGACATAAGATCAAACACGTTGCTTGCAATATTGAATGCACTTTGTCTTTAAAGATAATTACAATCCTCGCACTATTAACTATGAAGAAAGGAGCCATCCAAGACGAAAAATGTTGATTTTCAGTATTGCTGGCATTGAAAGTTGTAATGAATCATTGTCGGTTTGTAATTTGTATAGTTATCGGTCTCCAAAATTATAGCACCTCCAAGTTGACAATCTTGATTTAGTTTTAAAAGGTTTTCTTTTGGTATTTATATTACAAAATTTTGATATCTCATTTTTAAACATCAAAATGTTATATTTATATGAATATAATATTTAATCTTCATAAATTCTAAAATATCATATTTTCTAAATAAATAAATAAATAAATCGTTTGTAAACTGCCAATTTGGTCCCTCTTGATTGTAAAAAAAAAAAAAAAAAAAAAAAAAAAAAAAAAAAAAACTAGACAGATCGAAAAAAAAATCAACTTGCACTCAAAATAAGATTTTTTTTTTCTTTTTTGGATTTAACACCTCCAAAACATGAAATGAATTTTTTTTATCATTCTTGTTTTTTTTAATATTTAATTTAATACATTAGTATATGAACATGATTTTATCTCTATCATTGGGAAGAAGCCATAGGAAAACCGACTTAGGGTAGTGCATAATCGAATGAATGCAAGTGAATCGATTATTCTAATCCTGAATTCTGGTTATATTTAAGTCTTTAATTAAACTTTTTTTTAATGATTCTTTACATGCTATATTTTCATGCCAATGTGAAACATATTACGGATATCCCTTGATATCCCTTCCTAACCAACTCTCTTGTATATTGGAGTCTATGATTTACCCATTTAATAGTTTCCATGTATAGCTCCTAGATTAGTGCACTTACTGTTGTATATCTCCAGTATAAATGTAATCCTGTAATTCACGTTTAAATATATACAATCAACACAATTATATGTTATCAGAGCTCCTTCTCCAGAGAGCATCTCTAAATCCGATCCTACTCTCATCAACCCTAATCAGTCGCCAATGGCTCCCTCAAACACCATTGTTCAAATCACATCCGCCAGTCACTTTCCGATTAAACTCGCTACAACCAATTACCCAGTTTGGCGCAAACAAGTTCAATCATCACTAATTGCCCTTGATCTTGAAAACTTCATTACTGGTACTAACACACCCACCAAAACAGTCACCGACAAAGACACTGCCACACCCAATCCAGCCTACACAGCCTGGTACCGCCAAGACCAAATCATTTTTAGCGCAATTCTCGGTAGTTGCTCTGACCCCATTCAACCAATCATCACTTCCGCCACTTCTGCCAAGGAAGCCTGGGATCGATTAAGCGCAATTTATGCCAGTCAATCTCGATCCCGAATCATCTCACTCAAGTCCAAACTAGCCAAAAACCCAAAAGGAAGCCGCTCTGTTACAGAATTTCTTAATGATATGCGGCTTATCTCTGATGAACTTGCGCTCGTACAAAGTCCTGTGCACGAAGAAGACCTTCTGGTTCATATCCTTAGTCAACTCGGTGAAGA